ATTTGAGAAAAATATCATTATGACATTGAGGTTTCCAATGCATGAATATTATATTGGCGAAGACACCTAGTTGTCTGTCCAAAATTCATCCTCCTTTCCTTCCTAATAGAACTCGGCTTTATTCTGTGTGGTAATGTGCCCAGATAAAATAATACACTTTCCATTCTCCCTTGCAGCTAGGAATAGTTAATAAGGTGCAAATACAAATTCAATAAGGCTTCTGGAATGGGTCTTCAAAGGACCTGTCTTAGATGGGAAGACATCACTCATCCCCAGCTTCCTCCTTCGTCCACTCACAAATATCCCCTCTTCACACCTCTTAAAATCATACCTTTGCACACCATTCACACTGCCTCTGCTGTGAACTTCCTCATTTCCTATATTCACCTCCTAAGTCATCTCACCACCAACGCCCCCCATCCATTCTCCACATTACTGTACCAGGGTGATTTTTCCAACATCCAACTCTGATCATTTTACTACCTTACTTAAAACTCTTCTAATGGTTCTGTTGCTTTGAGAAGTGTTTTTCAAACCTTGTGGCACCAGAATCAGTTGGAGAGCATAAGGGAGCTTTACATTTTTCTAAAACATAGCCCAGGTTTACTGACTCTGAAGCACAGAACAGGGCATATCCAGGAATGAGTAGTTTCAAAAAGCTCTTCAGGTGATTCTGATTCACCACCAGGTTTGGGAAATACCAACTTATATGATAGAGGCCAAATTATTTAATGTGCCTCAGAAGATGTTATAGACTTAATTGTGTTCCCCAAAATTCATATGTTGAAGTCCTAACCCCCAGTACCTCAGAATGTGATTGTATTTGGAGATAGGTCCTTTGAAGAGGTAATTAAATTAAAATGAGGCTGTTAGGGTATACCCTAATCCAATATGACGGATGTCTTAATAAGACACAGCACAAGGGAAGGCCATGTGAAGACACAAGAAGAAGAATTATCTGCAAACCAAGAGGCGATACCTCAGAAGAAACCAAACCTGCGAACACCTTCATCTCAGACTTCCAGCTTCCAGAACTGTGAGAAAATTAAATTTTGTTGTGTAAGCTACCCAGTCTAGGGCGTTTTGTTACAGTAGCCAGAGTAAATTAATACACAGGGATTTTATCTGGGCCCTGACTACCTCTCTAGAGCCTCAACTCTCTGTGAGGCTCCATCCAACCCCCTATCAAAACCCACTCACACCTCCCACTTACTAGTTTTGAGACCTTGGGCAACCTAACCTTTCTGTCCTCAGTTTTCTTATCACTAAGGTTGCACTATGATTATATGTGATCATCTATGTAATACATTTAGCACAGGATGAACATAAAAACACTCAATAAGTGTTAGCAGCTACACTGTAGCCACAAGGCATTGACTGCCATTCCTGAAATGCATACTGTTTTGTTTCACTTCCATGAGTTGGCACGTGATGACATGTCTGCTTAGAATGCTTCTCTCCCACTACTTCACCTAGCTAACTCTTGGTTGTCCTTTAAGACTGAAGTCCTGGGCCGGCCGAGTGGCTCAGTTGGTTAAGAGCTCGCTCAAGAGTTTGAACTCTGAGCAACAGCGGTTCGAGTCCCGGCCTGAGCTGAGCAGCTGCTGAGCTGCCAACAGGTGGCAGGATGGCTCAGCTTAAAAAACAAAAAAAGGCTGAAGTCCTGGTGGAACTAGCTCTAATCCACCCCTCCCCCAGTCTGGAGCCCACCTCTGGACTCCAACAGCACAGTGTGCTTGCCTCCACAAAGTAAGAAGCCATCACAGAGTTTGAAATGGAGGCATGACCTGATCTGGCTTGAGTACCTACTATACACCAGGCATCATTCTAGATATGAGTCAAGACAAGAGTGAAAAGAATACTTCACTCATAGGGTTATTGAGAGGATTATGACAGATAAAGTGTGCCAAGCACATAAGACAGTGTCTGGCATAGGGTAGGCAGTAAGTGCTAAATATTATTATCTGTCTATATTTAGGACACTCCCTTACATCCATTGACATCTGTAGCCTTTGATTCAGTCTTCCTCTCTAAACGCAAATCCCACTACCGTCCTTGGTAATGACCCCTCCAACATGCTAGCCTCCCTCCTGGACCTCAACTCCAGTAGTTTTCACCTCCATCCTACTCCAGACTCATAAAAACCTTGTGTTGGCAAAATCCTGACCTTGACATTGTTGGAGTGTTGGATTTTTGCAGACTGAATAGATTGTGTATAACCATAGGAATGCATTAGATATATTATAGAAAGCCCAGGTGAAATTTTCCATTACCTTGAGATGAGAGTGTGCTTTTCTGCCTCCACCCCAAACAAGCAACAAGTCTCTTCTGTATAACTGGATCCCTGGAAGATAAAGGCAGAGAAGGGAAAGAGCAGTCAGACTGGAGATGCTAGTTTTGCTGACAGAAGATAAGGGTAGGCATTTTTACGACTGCTTAAAGAGAGGAAATTATAGTTGCAGTCTTTCTGGCAACAAGGAGGGAGTGAGAAATTATTAATGAAGACACCCAAATAAAAGTCAGGAAACTGAAGGGCAGGTGCTGCCAATAGACACTGTTCAACATGAATGATCTTCACAAAGGCTGTGCTCTGATGATGAGTCAAGAGTAATCCTACACAGAGATCCAAGATGGCAGAGTAGGTCAACACTGCTTGCCTTTTCCCATGAACACATTAAAATTGCAACTAAAATATAGAAATTCAACCTGGAGAATCATCTGAAGTCTAGCTGAACACAAATTTTATATCTAAGGATTTAAAGAAGAAGCCATGTCGAGACTGGTAAGAGGGGTGAAGATGCAAAATGGGCTGGCCCCAAAACTCCATGTCGCAGTTTAAAATCAGGAGGAAAATCTCGGCCACAGAGGATCCCCCCCACTGGAGGATCAAGTAACCCCAGCCCCACACCAGACTCCTCAGCCCAAAGTAGTGGTGCCGGGAAGAGGAGCCCCCACAAAATCTGCTGTGTAAAACAGTGGGATTCCGCAGTCCAGGTGGGACGAAAGGCTGCAGAAAACCCAGATGTCCTCTTAAAGGGCCCACACACAGGCTCACTTGCAGGCACTTACCCTGGGCTCTGGCAGAGGGACAGTAACCAGGAACATCAGAGACACACAGGGAAAGACTGAGTTGTGTGGTTGCTGGGTGAGGACTGGAGGGACAATTGCCATTTTTCCTGTGTGGGGTCTTTCTACATTGCAGCTGACAGGCAGGCACCATCTTTCCTGTGTTGAGCCACCACCAAGCCCATTGCTAAATCTGAATCTGAATTGCTCTGGTGAGCTCCCCTTGCTCCATCCTGGTGACTCACTAAGACTCAGCCACACTCAACTCCCTACCACAGGAGGCTTTATCAGTGGCGGAACCTTACAGGAGCCAGCAGGTTCCCTAATACATAAGGTCACCGAGCAAGACTGGAAGAGGTTAGTAGATCTACCTAATTCATAGAAACAAAACAGAGAGGCAGTCAAAATGTGGAAATAAAGAAATACATCCAAAATTAAAGGACAGGAGAAAACTCCCGAAAAAGAACTAAACCAATTGGAGGCAAGCAACCTACCAGAGACACAGTTCAGAACACTGGTTATAAGGGTGCTCAAGGAATTTAGTGAGACCTTCAACAAAGAGATAGCAAGCATTAAAAAATAAAACATAGAAAACATAAAAAAGATCCAGTCAGAAGTGAGGAATACAATAACTGAAATGAAGACTGCACTAGAAGGAATAGCCAGCAGACTAGATGAAGCAGAGGATAAAATCAGCAATTTGGGAGACAAGGTATCAGAAAACACTCAATACGAACAGCAAAAGAATAAAAAAATATGGTGGTCATGGTAGGCCCTATTGAGAAAGTGACAATTAAGCAAAAACTTGAAGGAGGTAACGGACAAGTCATGGAGATAAGTTATCTGCTCAAATAATTTTAACAGTATCCTGGAGGCCATACTGCACATTTTAACTCAGATGGCCTTGTGCAAGCTAGATTGTGGGGGGGACCAGTCTAGAGACAGACAGGCCAATTAGGAGACTGGATAATGATCAGACATGCTTGTAGTCAGACAGATCTTGGTTTGAATCACTGTTCCAGCTCTCACACATACTAGCAGCGTGACTGTGGGCAAGCTACCCAACCTCGCTATACCCTCAGTGTGTTCATCTGTAAAATGGGGATAATGATAGTTACATATTTTATAAGGTTGCTATGAGAATTAAGTGAGATAAATATTTGCTTGCAGTTACTATAATTGCAATAAGTCAGATGTGAGATTCCCAGAGCTTAACAGTGGGAGAGAATCAGAGGGGATACTATCTTAGCAAATGCCTAAAACTCCAAAAGAAGTATTTTCTCCCTCCAAACCCCTTTTTCAGGAAGGGCAGAATCATTTGGGGATGCTGGTGGTACTTAGAATCTTCCCCTTGAAATGAAACATTCTCATTTAAAACCTCTTGTCTCACTACAGTAACCTGTAAGAAAGCCTATTTCTGAAACAAATTCATCTGTCGGTCTGACAATCCTACAGTATATTTGAAATAAGTCCTGCATTTTATGTACATAGATTTCCTTTGTTTCTCTTCTTTCTACTTTCTGTCTTCCCTATTCATTTTCATCTCCCAGTTCCCTTCCTGCTCCCACCAAGTATGTTCCTTTCTTTTTCCTTTCATCCTTCCTTCCTTGGTCACAGATCATATTGTAATCTCAGTCCCCTCGTTTATTAGCTGCGTGCTATTGGGCTGGTTACCCTCTCTGGGTCTCAATTGCCTCTGTAAAATGGGTTTAATAAGAGAATGACTACCTTACAACAAAGAACACATTATATGGCTACCACAGTGCTTAGTCTATAATTAGAACTCACCATGTCCGTTCTCTTCTCTTTTTATCCTTTAACCTCTATTTCGCTACTCCTCAACCCCAGAACCCCCCAGGTAAAAACCGCGTGGAAAAAAAAACACCTCGAGGCAAAAAGCTGGGGGCGGGGACTGCGCGGTGCCCACGGCGCATGCGCGCCGGTTCCCTCAGGGCCTGGTTTCCAGCTAGGGAGTGGGGGACAGAGGGCTTCGTTTGCCCTGGCAGCCTCCTTCCCGACCCGGGAAGTGGCTGGACCTTGGCTGCGCCCCGGGCCGGTTCATCGCTGAGTTTGGAACGCTGGGCCCGAGGGGTAAGTTCGAAAATGGCGGAAGGGGAGGAAGGAAGGGCTTTGAAAGGCGGGAGGCTGGCCTCAGGGCGGGGGTGGCGAGGAGGAGACTGCGAGGGTCCCAGGGGCGCGGCTTGGGCGGTGAGACGGTCGGACTGCGGCCCGTGCCTGTTTGAGGCCATTTGATCCCCTCGGGAAACCGGGGGATGGGCG